GCTTCTGGATGTCTGTCTGTTGGAGCCAGTTTGTTGGGGTGCTTGGCTGCAGCCGAGGGACTGTGCGTGCATACTGTAACCCTTCCCCTTCTCTGCAGCATGAGATGGGCTCTGGCCACTAAGTTCAGATCTGGGTCTGAACTCCCTCAAAATGTGGAGGCGTCTGGGCCTGGGCCTATCTCTAACTAGAGCCTCAGCCCTCTTGCGGAGGTGGCCCCCTGGAGTCTCTTGCTGTTGATTGTTGCTGCTGGAGCAGCTGGAAGCTCCAAAGGGGCTCACAACCCCGTTGGGTTAGTTTCATGCAGCGTGACGACCCCTGCCCCAGAGAGTCTACCGTCCCAGTGGATGAGACAAAGAATGGGAAATAGATTAAGTGATGTGCCAGAAAGTCTGTGGCAGAGCTGGTAATTGATGCCAGGTCTCCTGGCTCCCAGTCCAGTGCATTAACCATCATCCTTTCCCTTCCAGACAATGGTCTAAGGACAGGAATCTAGGCAAGGGAGACTTATTTCCCACACCCCAACTGTACGCTCCAAGGGACAGTCACACACATCCGGGTGCAGACTTTGTATGGGCATCCTTTGCTGCAAAGGAGACAGCAAGGCCATGTGGGTGAACCAGGAGTAAGGGAAACTCAGTGTGAGACTGGGTAAGTTCCCATGAATCTTACCTTCTTGGGAGCCTTGCTGGGAGTCCTGGGCGGGTGCCTCGCTGACCTGGCGACGTTGGCTGGTCCTCAGCTGAGCTATCTCCTGGGTGCTGCTCTCCAGCCTCCTTCCCAGCTCAGCTTTTTCCTGCTCCAGTCGCCTCTTCTCCTCTTCCAGGAAGGACTTCTCCTGCCCAAGGGTGCTGTAGGCAGCCTCCAGCCTGCTGACTTGAGACTCCTGCTGAGCTCTTTCCATCCTCAGCCTGTCCAGCTCTCTCTGGAGCTCCACGGTGGAAGCAGAGGAGCCCCCTGCACCCAGCGCCACGTGCAGCTGGGTCACCAAGTTCTCCAGGAGGCTCAGCCTGGCCTTGGCTGACTCCAGCTCCGAGCGCTGTGCGTTGCTCTCCCTCTGGAGTTCCCACATGGCTGACGTTGCCTGGCCCGGTTCTGGACAGCTGGCCTCATTCGGGCTGGGGACTACGAAAGAGTAGATGCATCTGCTGTTCCTGTCGTTGGCCCTCCTGAGGTGGGCCGTGCTCCCCAGAGCCGCCCGGGCCAGGCCCACTGACAGGAACAGCCAAACCACGAGCATCTTTGTTATGGATGCTGCCCCTGTCGGCACTGCACACAGTACCCGTCAGTAGGAGAGCAGAGCTGCTTCCTGCGCTGCTGGCTACAGAGTGAGGGACGCCCACCAGCTCACCAGAGCTTCATTTATACAGCTGGGACTCGGGGCGGGCGGGGGGAGAGGGTTGCTGTGCCAGAGCCATGGAATAACAGGAACCTTCCAGAGCTGGCTTTAGAATTTCTTAAAGGAACAGCATCTCTGATCCCTACCTTCCCTCCTGCTCGCGGCCGGACTCTCAGCAAACAGCGCAGTCATGTTCAGACTCAAGCCAAGGGTTCCACCCGGGGCTGGGGTCTCTGGGTGTAAATCAGGAGTTGCTCTGCTGAATGCAATGGGGTGACACTGCTGTAAAATCAGCGCGAGCGAGAGGGGAATGGAGCACTAGGGTTTTCTTTTCCAACGATAACCTGTCACGCTTGCCAGCCCAGAGAATCAGTGTATTTAGGGATGTGGGGGATACAGCTCCCGTGGAGGGAAGCGGGAGGGATTCACACTAGACTGCTGTCTGTAAGAGAGGATGGGCTGATGGGCTGGCAGGCAGAGAGCTGGATCAGGCAGGCAGTTGCTGTCTGAGTTGGGTTAAACCTCCGAGTTCTGCACGTATAAGGCCTGTGTTTAAAAAACCCTGTGTAAGGGGAGGTAGCTAGCTAGCCACCTCAGCACATACCCAGGGTCCCGGGTGGGCTTGTGCAGCCCACGCTGAAGTCCATGCTGCTGCGGCTTCACTGCTATTGGTCTCCATGCTAGCTAGATCAAAGTTAGCTCAGGTATGGGTCTCTGTACTGCAGTCACACACCCTGACTGTGGTGAAGACCTACCCCAAGAGACAGAGGCTGGGAGAAATGTAGCTTCTTTTTTCCCTTAGCAGCTCTAGGAGTGTAAAATCTGCCCTGGTCCTGCTGGAGGGTTCATTGGAGGAATCGAGTGGGTTAGGACGTTTCCGAACCCTTTGCTGAAGGGATGGGCTTGTTCGGTCTTGACCAGCACCAGCCTTTCTCCGGTCCAGAGCAGGGTGTGCGGAGCTCAGCATATTTTTTAACAAGGCAATTTGGTTTTTTAACCGCTCATGTCAGGGTTCCTTCCCCTCTCTGAACTCTGGGGTACAGATGTGGGGACCCGCATGAAAGACCCCCTATGCTTATCTCTACCAGCTTAGGCAAAAACGTCCCCAAGGCACAAATTCTTCCTTGTCCTTGGACGGTACTGCTGCCATCACCGAGTTAGACAAAGATTTAGGAAAAGCACCACTTGGAGTTCCTGTTTCTCCAAAATATCCCCCCAAACCCCTTCACCCCCTTTCCTGGGGAGGCTTCAGAGTAAACAAGGTGAGCACAGACCAGACCCTGGGGTTTTTAGGACACTAAAAACCCCAATTAGATTCTTAAAAACAGAATTTTTATTATAAAGAAAAAAAAGTAAAAGAAACACCTCTGTAAAATCAGGATGGAAGATAAGGCCAGTGGATGTTTGCAGGGCTCCCCTGTTTCCCAAGTGAGTATTAGAAAGAAGCACCTCCAAGTAAAAATGCACAACGAAGCATAGCGATGGAATAATGATACCTCGCTCATGTATGGTGCTTTTCATCAGCAGATCTCAACATACTTTATGAAGGTTAGTTTCATTATCCCAGTTTTACAGATGGGGAAACTGAGGCATAGAGTGGGAAAGTGACTTGCCCAAGGTCATCAAACCAGGCTAGTGGTAATGCAGGGAATGGAAACCAGGGAGGTGAAAAATCCACACCCCTGAGTGATATAGTTCCAATCCAGTGCTTTGTCCACTAGGCCACAGACTAGAGACTAGATTTGTTTGTGGGAAACGTGGACGCAATCAACACAAAGGTGTCCAGCCATAGGTCTGCAGTGTTGTACATGAATTATAGACTCATAGACTTTAGGGTCATGAGGGACCATCATGATCATCGAGTCTGACCTCCTACACATTGCAGGGCACAGAACTCATCCACTCCTGTAATAGATACTCCTGGGGGGAATTCTGTGTCACTGCACATGCGCAGAATTTGTCCCCCGCAGATTTTTTGCTTCCTTGCAGCAAAATGACTTTCTGACGGGGAAGCAAAGGGAAGCCACAAGAGTTATCATGTGACCCTCTCCAGCAGTATGTTTCAGGGGACCAGGGCAGCCAGCAGAGAGGCAAATCACTGTGGGGCATGAGGTGGGACTAGGGAAGAACCAGCTGGTGGCTCCTATCCTGCGCCAGGCTCAGCTGCTAGTCCCAGCTGGGATGGAGAGGACAGGACTTCCTCTTCCCCTGTGCAGCATCCAGAGCCAGGTCAGATCCACCCCCAGATTTCTCCCCTGGCTGCAAGAAGCTCTGAAAACTCTCCCCACCCCCTTCCTGCACCCATTGCTCTTCAGCTGCAGAGGGAGGGATCCCTGTAGAGGGAGCTGTTCCCTCATTCACCCAACAGCCGTGCATCCAGATCCCCTCATATCCAGACCCTCCTGCCGAGCCTCACCTCCCCCACTTACAACCCCCCCATTACCCCCACTTCTCCTGCACCTGGACCACCCAGATAAGCCACCAGCATCCAGATCTCCACCCCACCAAGCCCCAACCACCTTCACCTGGACCCCCCCACAGAGTCCCATTACTGTTGCACCCAGAACCCTCCAACAAGCCCCTGTGCATCAAGATCCCCCCTGCACCCAGATCCCCCACTGAGTTGCCCACACCCAGATTGCCCCACACAAAACCCTTTCAACCCACACCTGGATCCTCCCACACTAAACCCCTCCACACTTGGATCTTGCCTTGCTGAGCCTGCCTGCCCACACCTGGTGCACCTGGCATGGAGGGGCAGGGCCCTGGGGTGGTTCTGGGGCAGGTCCAGTCCTTGCACTGTGTCAGGGTTAGGTGCAGCCTCACAGCTGATTCTGTGTCCCTGGGGCGGGATCTGCACTGTGATCTCCTACCTCTGTGCAGCCAGTGGCCTGTGCTCCCCAATGCCTTGCTGGAGCCTCCACATTTATTTGACAAATAAAATTTGCAGAATTTTAAAATAGTGTTTGCAGAATTTTTATTTATTTATTTATTTAGGTGCAGAATTTTTAATTTTTTGGTGCAGATTGCCCTCAGGAGTAAATAGACCCCTAACCTCTGGCTGAAGTTACTGAAGTCCTCAAATCATGGTTTAAAGACTTCAAGTTACAGAGAATCCACCATTTACTCTAGTTTAAATCTGCAAGTGACCTGTGCCCCATGCTGCAGAGGAAGTGAAAACCCCCCAGGTTCTCTGCAAATCTGACCTATGGGAAAATTCCTTCCTGACTCCAAATCTGGAGATCAGTTAGACCCTAAGCACATGGGCAAGACCCACCGGCCAGACACCTGGGAAAGAATTCTCTGTAGTAACTCAGAGCCTGTCTCATGTAGTGTCCCGTCTCCAGCAGTTGGGGATTTTTGCTATTGGCAGTCGCCAAAGGGCCATTAAATGCAACCATATTGCAAAGGTGTGTTGCTTTGTATGCAAATTGCAAATATATAGGTACCTCCATATAAAAGCATATAGTTGAAGAAGAAAGCAGTGAGGCAGAAACAGAGCTCTTGTGCTGTGTCACAGTACACTTTCACAGCCAAGGGGTTGTGTACAAAAAATTGGTTTGATACTGGAAATAAATAAACACAGAGTGACTCTCCAAATAGATACTGGAGTTAAGGGCAATGTAAGCCCAGCAGGTGTGTGTGCAAGATGATTGACATCGCATCATTGTCTGGGAGATCATAGTGTGGCGGATTAGTCGCCCACAGACCCAGAGGGGGAGGAGCCCCTTATTGAACCCTGGTGGGCGGAGCCACGCCACACTCAACCCTCCTGCTGGCAAGTTAGTGGGCGGGACCGGAAGTACAAAAGGCGGGCCGGAGATCTCAGTTTGGAGGTAGCTGCCAAAGAAGCCAGATAGCTGCTGTGAGCTCCTGAGCTGGGAGGCTGCTGCAGACCCCAAGGGTGCTGAGGGCTGACCAGGGCCATTTACAGACCTGAGCACGGAGGAGCTGCAGGTGCTGACAGAGGCCTTCTTCCCTGATGACCCTCTGCAGAGCCAGGTATGTCTGGAGGGGGAGTTGAGAAGTGCCCCAGGGGTAGCTGACCCCAATCTGGCTGCAATGCTGCCAGCAAGTGAGGCAGCGTGCCGCGGTCAGGATCCCCACTGACCCAGTGGCAGACCGCTCTGCCATTGCTAGGGCCTTGGGCCGGGACGCAGTGGAGTGGGTAAGCCAGTGTCTTCCCTGCCACGCCAGTGGAGTGGGTGTCCGTCTCCCCCTCTCTTAGGCAAGAAGCTGGTGCTTGTTGGCCCTCTGCCAGAGCTAGGAGGCTCGACTGTTTGCCGCTTAGCATGAGTGCAGGCCTGAGACAGAGACTCTTTGCTGCCCCAACCAGGGGCTCAGCTCTGTAACTGTGTTTGTTTGTTCGGCCCTGATCACAGGCCCGAGCTGACGTCTCCCATCGCCCCGCTGATTCCCCACGTCAGGCGACCCCCCAGAGACGTAGTGGGGCAGATTGCTGCCCACAGACCCAGAGGGGGAGGAGCCACTCCCTCCAACAGACTACAGAAATGTAGTCTACTTATGAGGAAAAGCCAGGCAAGTAGATGTGGCTGAGACAGCTTGACTGAGTACAGGATGGGCATCCTTGTACGCAGGAGAGTTTAGTGGCCAGGGATCTGGGTTCAACTCTCAGATTAGCCAGCCCTCCAGAGTGACTGCGGTCAAGTCACTTACATGGTCTTGTGCCTCACTGCCCAGTTAAATCAAACTCTAAGTTCTCAAGCAGAATTTCTCTTACTTTGCCTAGTTGTACATTTCATCTATTATTGAGGGAAATATTTTTCATTGGTTTGTGTGTGTCTGGGGAAATCAACACTCACTGGTTAAAAATATGCTCTTTCCAAGCTCACGTATGGCCCAAATATCGAAAACCTTCCATTCTTGTTCTTTACGGTATTGGAGCAATGTTCCTGTTGGGGATACTGGGCATGGCCACTAGGTAACTCGAGGGGATGGAAGACCACGAGTGTCGATGAAGCCTCCTCGCACTAGGCCCAAGTGTCCTTGGCCCCCTCCCCCGCCTGAAGGCACTCACAGCAGTTATGCTGAGGATCTGCAACAATATGTTGCAGAGTCAGACTGCCTGAAACTAAACAAGGCCAAACAGGGCAGATATGGAAGAACAATGCTGAATAAATCAGCTTTATGTATGGTTTAACAGATGGTGGAGAGAACTAGCTGGTAACTGGATTGGCTGGCTATATGGATACTTAGAGCAGCTTGCTATTGGATAAGTATGCTGAAGAAAGGATGTATAAAAGCCTGTGTAACTTCCTGCTCTGTGTGCAGGATTTGAGATTCTATTCTCCCTGTACCTTGTTTGCAGCTGCAAATAAACTTTTCTGCTTCTCCACCCCGTTGTGATTATTGGGTGACGCACACCGGGTAACGAACCCCCACTGTTGTTCGCCTCTGGCACTGGGTGCCAGCAACATTCCTATGGGGATTTATTAAGACTAGCTCCCTCCAAATTTGCTGTGACTGGAGACATGTAGAGGTGTTCTCTCTGCCTGAGGGCAAGTCTATACTTAAAACACGGCCTTGGTGCAGCAGCACTGATGCAGCTGTAGTGCTTTAATGAAGACACTCTAAGCCGACGGGAGAGAGCTCTCTGGTCGGCGTAGTTAATCCACCTCCCCGAGAGGCAGTACCTGTGTTGATGGGAGAAGCTCTCCCGCTGACATAGTGCTGTCTACACAGGGGGTTAGGTCGGTGTAACCACGTTGCTCAGAGGGGTGGATTTTTCACAAAAGACGCTGACCATGGGGTAACTTGGTAAATGCCTGACGATAATGGTGCCAGAATATAGACTGGAAGCTCTTTGGGGCAGGGCCATCTTTTTGTTCTTTGTTTGTACAGCACCTAACGCAGTGGCATCGTGGTCCATGACTGCTGGAATTCAGAGAACATAGCAGAGACTGAGAGTATGTCTGCACTACAACTCTAAGTTGACCTATATTAGATTGACTTATAGCCCACACAGTAATTATTGTGGTGGTTCATATCCACATTCCTTCAGTGGTGTGCATCCTCACCAGGGACACTTCCACCGACCTAAGAGGGGCAGTGGGGAGGGGGCGGCTGAGAGCCCAATCTCTCAACTCTGTCGGCAGCTCCCTGTCAGGAGCCTGGCTGCCCCACAGGCTCCTGGGCTAACGGTAGGCTGCCCCCGCTGCTCTCCATTGCCCGCAGGGAGTGGGGGAAGCTGCCTGGGGCTTCTTGCCCCCCATTGTTCCCTGCTGGGAGCCAGGGGAAGCCACTTGGGGCTTTTTGACCCTCTTCCCCTTCTTCCTCCTCCCCCCCCCCCCCACCTGCCTGCTCCCCACAGGGAGCCAGCCAGCCGTGTCAATTTCACAGCTCAGGGTTGCCTGGCTCCCAGCAGGGGGAGAGCATTGGGACCCTCAGGCTTCTCCAGGGGAGCCTGGGTGGGGCGGGAGGGGCTTTCTTGTCAATTCCACAGCTCCTGAGTCACCTTAACTACATCGATATAAGACCTATGCCTCTCGGGGAGGTGGAGTTATGTCGGTGTTGTAGGGCACTTACATCAGCGGGAGCAAGTCTGGAGGGGAGACACAGACGTAGTTAGGTCGAGGTAAGGCAGGTTATGTCGACCTAACTGTGTAGTGTAGAGCAGCCCTGAGAGAGATGGATAGGAGGGTAGTTGAACCAGTTGGTGTTTATCTGCTGTAAGGCATGAGCCAGAGGCAGTGACCGAGGAGCAGCACTGGTATTCCAGTAGCCAGTCAGCTGGATGAGTGGTGCTGCATTAAAGCCTGCACCCTGATGCCTCTGGAGAAGCTGATCCATTGCCCTGCAGCACTAGCTTGGCTTTCCAAGGTCTGCAGGCTTCAGCGATGTGTTCAGATTCCCCTTTCTGCACGGTGGGAATATCGAGACAACAGACTGAGTTCTGTTGCTGGCACAGGGGCTCAGCCTGCAATCTCTCCAGTAATGCTGAGTCCCCAGCCTCCCTTGGCAGTTCATTCCATTGATTAACTCTTCCTACTTTCCTGCACTCCAACTTATTAATATTTAATTTTCCCTTCTGCTGAGTAAGCTTATTTCTTCTTGTTCTTTTCTTAACAAGTGAATAATCTCTCCCTGCCCTCTTCATAACCTCCACCGCTGGTTCTCTGCAATTTAGCCTCTCTCTGCTTTAGTTCTTTAGCCTCAGCATACCCAACCTCTGACACCACATTCATTTTAGTGCCATTTTCTCTCCTGTGTTGACCATATTTTTTTAATAACGTGCTCTCAAAACTGATCTGATTGCTCTACCTAATGGTAGCAGAATAATTACTTGCTCATCTTGCACACCATCGTCTCTCTAATATCTCCCAGCGGCGGTATTGCCAACTCATGACTTTACTGCAAGACTCATGATATTGGGTGTGTGTGTGTGTGGGGGGGGGCTTCTGTTTGTTTTTTCTTACAGCCCCAGGGGCCACAGGCGGATGCATCCTTTTTTTTAAAGCAAGTCTCTAGCTCTCACGGTTATGTGGAAATGTGACAATGTTCACACTAAACCGTTAAGGCCAAAATTAAGTCAAACTCCTGATTTCTGGAGATCTGATCCAGGACTTTTGAATGCGGGGAGGTTGCCAGTGTTGCAGCATGACATGGCCTTTTGTCCTAAATGTCACATGGTTAATGTTCATCCAGTTTATCTGGTGACGCCAATTCATAAAATCTTCTCGATGGTGGTCTAAGCCAAAGTGATGTTTCTGGGTTTATACCTTCTAGCAAACACTTGCAGTAGGTCGTGCTAATTTCAGGGACAGATTTTCCCAACCGCATGAAAGTAGCAGTGCCAGAGACTCCATGAAATCCACTAGGGCCTTAGCTATTGGTATGGATTTCACATGGAAGGTGCTCTGCTACTATGGTACTGGGCAGCAGGATAAAACACTAAGATCGTGTGTTTGTTTTTTCTTTTAACTCCCATTGGCTGTTTCCATTAGGTGCCTACATGGTAGCTGAGCAGAGTAATCTTGGAAATCTAATCCGGCCCTTCCCTAGCTGTCAGATTCATATTTATAGATTGATATTCTCAGGCCAGAAAGAACCATTGTGATCATCTAGTCTGACCCCCTGTGTAACACAGGCCAGATAACTGCCCTAAAATAATTTCTAGAGCAGATCTGTTAGAAAATCACCCAATTTTGATTTTAAAATTGTCAGTGATGGAGCATCAACCCTTGGTAAATTGCTTCAATGGCTAATTACTCTCACTGTTAAACATTTACACTTTATTTCCAGTCTGAATTTGTCTAGTTTCAACTTCCAGTCGGATTGTGTTAGAACTTTCTCTGCCACATTGAAGAGCCTATTATTAAATATTTGTTCCCCATGTAGATACTTTTAGACTGTGATCAAGTCACCCCTTAATCTATTTAGTTTACCAAAGAGGAGATTGAGCTCTTTGAGTCTAAGGCATATTTATTAATCCTCTAATCCTTTAATTTCACCCATGAGGCGACTGCAGAAGCTTTGAGAGTGAAGCGTGGTTTAGTGATAAATACCCTGCACTTACCTCGCACTCAAAGCACTTTAACAGGGGTGTGCAAGTAGCAGCAGCATTGTAAAGATGAGGAATATGACTTCCCCCAAGGCCATGCACCAATTCATTGCTACGCCAAGTCCTCGCATCTGCTAGTTCAGGGGTGGGCAAACTTTTTTTGGCCCGAGGGCCACATCTGGGTATGGAAATTGTATGGCGGGCCACGAATGTTCATGAAGTTGGGGTGCAGGAGGGGGTGAGGCTTCTGGCTGGAGGTGCAGGCTCTGGGGTGGAGCTGGGAATGAGGGATTTCAGGTGTAGGAGGATGCTCCTGGCTGGGACCAAGGGGTTCGGGTGGCTGGAGGGGGATCAGGGTTGGGACACGGGGGGTGAGTGCAGGCTCTGGGGTGGGGCCTGAAATGAGGAGTTCAGAGTGCGGGTGGGGGCTCCGGGCTGAGGTTGGGGGGGCCTCCAGCTGGGGGTGCAGGCTCTGGAGTGG